GCTTTCTTTAAGCTTTAAACTCATTTACCAATATATGTAGTGCAGTACTTTCATCTAGCAAGTAAGTGCTGAAATCTACAGGCATGAAACATTCAAACTGCAAATGGAAAATCTGCCCAGTCAAGTGGCACTACAGCATTTTCCCTTTAAACACAGTGGTGGCAGTGCCTGGTTGCTGGAATTGCCTTGCTGGGGAGGCTTGTAAATGTACCATGCATTATATAGCCAGGGAAGCAGGGTGATTTAACCTGACTAAAAGAATTTTGACTTCTCTATTTCCTGACTTTCAGGGGTTTAAATTTTTAGCCTTAAACTGGCATTATGAAGGTATTTTACATTGAGTAATGGGATCATTATTTTTCCCCCTAGCAAAAGGGGTGTCTCCAAGAACGGAACCATGTGGCAGGGCAGAACACAATCCCAAAGGAATTGAATATGAATCGCTCAGGCAATAAAACCTGCTAAGAGAATTTGTGTTGTCAGCTTGCCAGAACATCAGATTCACACCTCTGGTCCTATAGGAAGGTGCTAGGGAGCTTTTTAAAGGTCCCAGTGGCTATGATCTTGGCTTTCTATCCTTCTAAGAAGTGGCTCAGCAGTCAGCCACTGTCTTGGGCTAACATCTTGATCCTGTAGGAAATGGTACCAGCCTCCTTACCCCAATCCTCTATATCTACCCTGGGAGTCTGTCAAGAATGGCAGCCCCAGTGGTATAGCCTCATCACACATAGGACACTGGCCCAACATTTCTGGTGCTAATCTCTGGTTGTTGCAATCCTCTCTCTCCCCCTGCAGCTATTAAATTTACAGGCTGGATATGGTGTAGCAACAGAAACCAAATTGTAATGCTTTAATATGTAGGAACTATAGTAACGCTGTAGAACTGTAGGAATTGGAATAAAACATGAAGGGTTAGTATTGTCTAAAAACCCTTCTTTATTTTTCTAAATTCTCTTCTCAAGAAATTTCTTTGGTCTTAATGTCTACCAGTTTTTCCTTCTTGACTATCTGAATTTTATTAAATGCCCTGCCAAAAATGATTTTTATTGAACGCACTACCAAAGTGGATCTGCATGATTAAGTTATGCACCTAAACATCTTTGCGCACATTTCAAAAATGTGGGTAGCTTTTAAATGTGCAAATTTCTTTACTGCATAAACAACCCTTTAAAAATTATTTTTAAAATCTGCACCAAGGATGTACATCTATTGAACAAAACCAACAATGCTTGCTTGGTTTTTCCAAAAATAAAATTCGGGCTAATTCACATTAATTTTAAAACATTTCGTTGAATTAAAAAAGTGGATCATATAAAAGCAGCAATTCTCTCTCTTTCTCTCCCTCTCCCCCATTAGGAAAAAAAAAATTTGCACCTGGTGGTGAAATTCGTTTACTCTGCAAGGATGTATTGTGTTTTATCCCTCTTGCTTATTATATTTATTTCATTTTTGCATTTCTCTTTCTTAACCTCTGTGTATCCACTGAAAACCACATTTGGGGCCCTCGGCAATTTTCCCAGCACTGTCCTGCAGTCCTGTCCGTGGGGAGGTGGTTATACTCTGTGTTCTCCCACTGACTGAGACACTAGACAGGTAGCTTGTCGAATGCCACAGCTCTGCGGAAGAGGTGGGAGGCCAGCTCTTTAATTTCGCTGGTTGCAGTGAGGGTAGAATTTTTAGACAGGCAGGATACTGCCCTGGTAGAGGGAAGAGGAGCGAGTACTCTCTCACTCCAAGTTGGCCTCTTGCGGCAGACAGCCTGCGGGCGGAGGGGCCTACCTGAGCCTGCCTAGTACTCGGGAAGGCCGAGCCCAGCCGGGAAGAAGACCTGAGGCGTAGGACCCGGGGCAGGAGGTTGCAGGAATGACCCTCCGTAGCCGCAGATGCTCCACCTGGCTTGCAGAGCTCCGGTGGAGTCCTCGCCAAGATGCAGACGGTGAGATTTTGGTCTGGTTCGCAGTTTCTGCACGAAACCTGAAAACACTAGCTTGAGATTTCGCAGTTTTAGTCCTCAGACCTAACCCAGAAGCGCTCCCACCAACCCCTATTCAAGGGATGAGAACAGAACGAATTCCGCGCAGCTAAAGCGCATTTTCCCAAGCCAGTAAAAGTGACCCCTGCCCCTAACAACCTCACGACTTTCTCTTCTCTTGACTACCACTTCCCCTAGGGTGCGCTGAAATCTTTTTATCGTTACGATTTTTTAATGAAATAGTTTATTTCTCCGCTGTATGCAGGGTAATGAAAGGAGCTGTTCTGGACTCCAAGATGCACCCCAAAGGAAAGAAAACGTAACTGTTGCCCGAACTCAGCGAAGGAAGCACAGCTAACTCCACCAGGCGCACTTCCGAGCCACTTGGGCACAGCTAGCTGTGTTAATTACGGGTTCTAATTTTATTGCATCTCGGCACCTCCTGGTTTGTTCCCACTACAGCGGTCTTAAAAAGAAACACACACAGGCATACACCAGAATGGATCCCCAGAAAGGCAAAGGTGGATTTTTCCGTGCTTGGGTTGATGCGCTGAAAGGGCACTGGGTATGTCCGGGCAGTCCAGGAACAAATTGCAGCGAAGAGCAAGATTCTTTCCTGTCCTTGTCTAGCTCCTCTCCCTGCTGCTAGGCGCACTGCCACAGTCGCTGCGGACCTTGCCTCCAGGCCCTGGAGTAGCCCAGGCCAGGAGAGGACGGTGCAAGCAGCCAGAGCCTGGTCTCAGTCTACCGTCCTCTCCCAGTCAGCCGCGACCTCCCTAGCTTGGAATCTTTGCCTGTAGTAAGGAGGCCTAGGTTGTAGGTCCTCTCTGCTGCAGGTTCTGGGGGGGGGGGGGGGCGGGCATAGGCGGGTCTCTCTTCTGATGTTTGGAAGGGGGTAAGAGAGCGTCCACTTTCCGTGCAGACATCTGAACTATGAGGGCTTCTCTTGGGGCTTCAGCGCAAGCTGTTCCTGCAGAGTAGGAAAAGGGAGTATGGACGATGTGGGTTCAGAGCTTCTCACTTAATTAACAGTGTGATCTCATTTAATCTAAGTATCTTGTGTGCTCTTATTTAATCTGTCTATTGTAAAATGGGAAGATAATAATACCTCTTTTGTAAAGTTAGAGTGTTTGACGTAGCGAGCCCTCTGCAAATGGTAGGATGAGCTGGAGAAGAATGGGTCCGTCGCTTCCCCCACCCTTTTTCGTGCAGAGCTTCTTTGCGGTCTCCGGCTTTCCCGCCATGGCTCAAAGACAGCTCACAACCCGTGGCCTTCAGTAGGCCCCCTGTGGGCTGCGAAAGGATACAGCCTGGTAGGAACGGCAGATGGGTTTTTGGTGAATCGTCAGAAGACTGATGCTCGGGTTTGCCTTGGAGCATGGTGGAGAATGGTACAGAGATTTGGAGTCTAGTAGAGAGTTGAGGGTGCTGGGGGGATAGGAAAGGGAACTAAAAATGTCAAGTATCGAAGTTCTGTGGATTTTCAAAGTGGGTTCCCAACGTTGGCAAAAACTACTGTGGGAGCGTGATCTAATCTGACGCCTGTAGGTGGCGCTGTGACTAGGTGCCGCGGCCAGGACAGAGGTGACGGAGGTGGGGGGGGACTTAAAAAGTATGGGAAGTTTTCTGTGACTCTGACCCTCTGCTCCAAACCCCCGCTTTCTGTTTTGGGGATTAGCAAGGACAGTGGAGGCGTCAGCGCGGGGCTAGTGGGTGGTGGAGTGAGCCCAGAGAAGGCGACAGGCTGGAAATATCGCGCCGCGACCTTGCCATGCTCCAGCGGCCTCGCAGCTCTGTTCACTGCCCGGGCGCAAGGATGCGCCAGGTAGCACGTGACCGGGGACGACTCTCGGCGGCATCATGCCACTCAAAGGGAACGCGCAGTTAGTGAGCCCTGGGTAGCTGTATCGCAGAAAGTGAAAGAAAGCTCTCGTGCTTGTCAAGATGACTCTGGCCTGCAGGTTGATTCGGACTCCTCGGAAAAGCCATAAATCGGGTCTAGAATGAATTGTCCCCTCTGTCAGCAGTTTGGGCCCAGTTCGGGGCCTATGGGGCTGAGGCCCGGCCCTGCCAGGGGACAGCGAGCTGGGCCTGAAAGCCTGCGGGCAACCCAGACCTCGCAACAAAGCTATATTCAACAACCTGGACCGCAGTGGGCCCCCCGCCCTCCGAAGGGCTTCACGTGTGCTTGCTCCCGAAACCAGGGCTTAGAGGCGCAGCCTCGTTCTCGTTTATCTTTTTCAGACATCCTTTAGGCCAATCGGGTCTTCAGAAGGACGCCTTAGGGCAGGGTCTCAAACAGCTGTGCTTTAAAGAACCCGCAATCTTGTTTTTCCCACATGAGGCTGAGCCTCTCCGGAGCGCCGCAGCTCAAGGTCGTAGAGTGACGGTGGACTGTGTCTTCGTCACCGAGCAGCGCAACTTCTACGAATGCTGCAACCCTGGCAAGGCGAAGTAGCCTTCCTTCTGGCTAGGTCAGACCAGCCTCCCCTCAGGGACCCTTCTCTACCTCTACCCCTGCCACTCCCTCCCCAGGTGGGATCCGATCTTTGCTCGCGCTTGCCGTCCCGGCAACCACGAGTTTTTCCCCCTTGCACAAAACCGTGTTCTCTTTCATTTGCGAATTTAATAAACAAACAATCATATCACATGAGGCTCCGCGCCGTCCTTCTGAAAGCAATTCCGCTGTTGAAAACTGAAAAATGGGTGTAATTTGTGTTCAGAAAGTGATGTTAGGGTCACAGCAATTTCCCGGGCCGTTATTTATTTTTATTTTAAAGTCTTTAGGAAAGATTTGCTTATATACTCGGAAACCTTCCAATGCGAGAATACCAGCAATCCCGCTCGCCTTCGACGCGAGGGGGTGGGGTGGAGAACAATTACTGAGTGACGCTAATATGGGGAAACTGAAAAGAAATGTCGATTGTTTTTATTGTAATAGAAGGAGTGAGCAAACAGAAAATCCAACCCCGGGTGATCGGAAACAGGCAGGCGGAGAATTAAAAGCCGGTTTCAGGCGGCAACAAGCCCCTCCCCTGCCCTTGGAAGGAGAAAGCGGGCGACGAGCGCTCGCAGCCGGCGGGGCGCATCCCGCGGCGTGCAGCGCTCGGGCCTGGCGGCTGTCGGACCCGCGGTGCGCCCCGAGGGGTTTCCAAGCTCGGCCCGATCCTGTCCGCTGCCGTGGTTGCTACCTCGAGGAGCCAGGGAAAGGCTCTTGAACCGTGAGACTCCTTAGTGAGAAGGTGGAGAGGCCGCGGGGCGACTCCTAGAGCATCTTTCGGCCGGCCGCGCTCGGCTCCTCTTCTGGGCCAGTGCGGCTTCTACTTGAGCTGGTGCGTCCGCAGTCCCGCCAAGTCCAGGCCAGCAGGTCAGTGTGTGGGCGCCTCCTGTCCTCCCCACCCACCCTCGGCCTGGCTGGGGCCAAGCATCCCCGCCGGCTGTCTCCTTCTCAATCCCCTGAGGTTGTTCCCTTTAGCCGCCGTCCCCGCCCTCCCGCAGCTGCACGCGAGGATCCTGCCTGGCCAGCGGGCGAGCGGTGACCCTCCCTCGCCTTGGGCGCGGGGCTCGCTTCCGGCTGCCACTCGCCGCGCAGTTGCTGGGGGGCCCAGTGGGCCGCTGACCCTGCGAGACCTGGACATAGCATTGGGCCGAGGTCTGGAGAAGCTGGGCCCCCTTTCCTATGCCGAGAGCAATCCCCACTCACCCTGGAAGAGACGGTCGGGTGGGGGAAGCGGACTCAAAGTCTTGTCATTACCGCATTTCCCCTCAGACGTCTGGAAGAAGTCAATGCACTCTGAAAACCCCTGCCCCGGAGCTCGAACTCCGAGAGATATCCGCACCTCCCCAGAATAGGCTAGAGGCGGGTACTGTCTCCTGGGCTCCGAGTCCAGTCTGGTCCCAGCGTGGGGCCAAGTTGGGGGAATCAGCTCCTTAGTAGTCTCCTCTGCCAGCTCTGCTTGTCATAACTGCGACTGGGAACAAAACGACCCCTCTCCTGCGCACACGCACGCCCCTCTCTCGCCTTACCCTCCCATCCGCAGTCATCTCTGACCTGTAGACCCTGAGAAGCAGGCTCCCAGAGGAACAGTTCAGCCGGGCGTCGATCCAGGCTGGGGATCCAGGGAGGGCTCACCGCGCCCCTAACAGCCTGCGGCGCCTGGGTCTGACCTTGGCAGCCCTCGGGTGCCGTCTGCCTGGCCACTCGAGGGCGGCCTCGGAAGGAGCTAGATTCCTGTTCCTTCTCTGCTTCTGTCCTCAAACCCCGCTAGTGCCAGGAGCGGGGCGCCACAGGTGACTGTCCGCGGCACTAGGACCGCGGACAGATTTATGGAGACTTTACTGAATCTGGCCTGGGTCCGCGGGGCAGGGCGGAGTCCGAGAAGGCGTACTGCGGACTAAAGTTTCCCCAGCCTCAGGCTTGGGCCCAGCCGCGGGTAGAGTCATGGGCCCCGGCTCCCCTCTGGTAGGTGTACACTGGGATCCGCTCAGTGCGAGGGTGGCGATTCCTCCCACCCCGTGTAGCCCCCTCCTTCACACCCTCTGGCCAGCCAGCTTCCAGGCTCCCACTGAGTAAATATTTACTCAGAGAGCGGGTCGCCCCACGGAGGAGGCCTTGACAGCGCCTAGGGGAAAGGCTTTTTGGCTTCTCCCTGGCCTGGGCCAGCTGCAGGCCTTACAGGTTGTGTTTTGGTTTTGGTCTTAAATTTCTTCTTTTAGTCGAAATTCTCCCGATCCCTGTATGATCCCCTAGGTCCAGAGCGGGCAGTAACTAGGGGGCGCTGACCCTAGCTGACCCCTGCTCTTTCTCAAAGTCTTGCATCCTTACGCACCGTTGGGGCTTGCAAGACTTTAGTGTTCTCTCTCTTTTCCTTCCTCCATGCTTCTTTCCCTCCTTAGATCCGTCTCTCTCTCGGGCTCAGCGGCTCGCTGGCTACCTCGCCTCCGCAGCGTCAGCCCCTTCGGTTCCAATCCCTCCGCTCCTGTCTGCCCCTGCAGCTTCCTTCCTCTTGCTCCCAGCGCGCGGACCTCCGCTTGCCTCAGATACTTAGTTACCCAAAGCACCTAAAATTGATTCTTTGCGGGCTCTTGAGAATACCCCGAGCCAAGAGAACCAGCACTTGCAACTGCCGGCGTGAGTGGGGCCCGGGCGCCGCAGGTAGCAGGCACTCCGCAGCAGCTAAGGCCAAAGGGCCACGACCAAATCCAGCAGGTGGAAACCGAGAGATGGCATCGGACCTGTTCGAGAGCGCGGGAGACGTGTGACAGTGAAGGAGTCGGTGGCGAACAAGAGGATGTTGCGTGTTAAGTCCACTTAGCCATGGGGAGCTCTAAACCACACGGGTCTCTCACTCTGGGCTGGTGCTGTAGAACCACTAAAGCTCTCACAGAGCCGGAACCCCTCCCACGCTGCGGGGCTTTTGGCCTCACCAGACGGTAGGCGGAAAGGCCTTGTACCCACACAACAGCCCCAAAGCCTCTGCGAACGCCTACTAGGCTCTCGGAAATGTGGCAAAGAGTCCGCGCAGAGGTTGCTACTCATAGCGTGTCTGGAGGTGGAAGCAGGGCTCCTGATCAAGTTGCGGGGCATGTTCATGCCTTTGCGCAAGCCTAAGTCAAAGTCTTAAGCACCGCTCAGATATCGCAAAGTCTCAACTAATTTACTTACACCCCAGCCCTAAAGAAAGAGCTGCTGCTTCTAAAATCTTAGATTCCCAAAGGCTGTCCTTATGCAAAGTTACAGACGGTGCCACACAACAGGTATTGGGGGTCAGGCTAAGGAGAAATCGCTATCAAGAAGATTCTAAACATTTGAAACCAACAAACAAAAAAGGGACAAGTTCAAGTATGTCTACTTGTGGGACTTTCCACAAGATCTCAATTGTAAAGAATTAAACGTATTTGAGTTCATCTTTATCTTTCAAATCCTTCATACTTTAAGTGAATTTGAATTGAGTGCCTCCCCACCACAGAAGCAGAGATCTGGAGATCACTGATCGTTTGAAGAAGCACAGCTGATTACTAGTTTTTCCTGGGTTCTTGTCACTGACTGGTCTGGGATCTGGGCCCAGTCAGTTTCCCAGTGTGTAGACCCGAGCCACACATATCTCTGGGGGCTGTAGGAGGATCACCCCGAATATTGTGTGCACAAGAAGGAGAGTTGTAGAGTACCAAGCAGCAGTATCAGTGTCCGTGACCAGAGCAGTATGAACTCCCAAATTCATTCCAGTATTCCTCATCTCGTTTATTATTTTGATTCTCATTCTCCACAATTTTACTGTAAATATTAATAACTTTGGCCGCAAAAGACATACTGTACACTTTAAATTTAGAATGAACAAAACTGAAAATTCAGAAATAGGCAGAACTGCAGGGTCTCTGGTAGCAAAATGGAAGACGCAGGAATTACATTTACGTGCAGCGCCGTGTCCACTTTCTTTACACTAAGTCTCTTTCATATTTAAGCAAAACCCTTTCGAAGAGGCTCACTGGTTTGGAGAATCCCTGCAATCGCTGACACCAAGGACCAGCGGCCCAGCACAGTGACTGAGTGCGGCGGTGTGCTGGGCTCTGGAGCGAGAAGCCCACGCACCCGCAATAAATTGACTTGCAGCTGTGCGCTCGCTTCAGCTGCGCCTGTTTAAATTCCCGGCACATGGCGTGACCCCTGCCTCAGCCTGCAAACCTGCGTGGCTAAGGGTTGGCCCGCGCTCCCAGACGAGCCCACCCGAGGCCGCCGGGGGAAGCCGGCTGCGGGAGGGGTCTCCCGGGCTTTAACATTGGCCCCCACCAGTAGCTCGGCCTCCAGGCAACGTCGATTTCTCCGCTGGCCTACCTTCTTACACCTGCTCTCTTGCCACCAGCCATGGACTGACTTGAGGTAGAATCGGCGGGTGACCTAGCTCTCCTCGAGGCCCGCGGAGGCCTGCATGACAGATTATGCTAAGACCTCCCCGGCCCCTACTCCCCCATAAACGGTGGCGCCCGTCTCCCACCTAGATTCTTAACTTTAATTCTGAGACGCCCATCGTTCCCCCAATGAGGTCTCCTCCGCCCCTTCCCCCTTCGAGTCACTCATATTCAGACCAAACGCTTCCATTTGTTTTTTCAGCATTTTTACCCGCCTGATTTTGCTGTCTTTGCCGCTCCTGGGAAAATGTCAAACACCCATTTTCATTGTATTTAGTCACCCAGGTGGGGAGCCAGCCTGAAAGGAACAGCGGAAGGAGTTTCCTGGACTGTGCTGTCGCTCACCGGCTTGCACCAATCACCACGCAGCTCACTCTTGGGCCCGCCTCTTCGGGGGCGTGTCCCCAGTGAGTGATAGACGGAGCCGCCCGGCCCAGCTCAGCCCAGCCCACGTTGCTGCTTAGATTGAAATGCAGAGCTCAAGCCTCTTTCATCGGGGCACAGACTTCCTTTTACTCCTTCCTTTTGCACTCTTGCCTCCTCCTCCCGGGAAGAAGCGGAGGCATCGGCAGCCCGGGGTAGCAACAGGCTGGGCCACTGAGGCCGTGCGAAAAGTTTCCTTCTGGCAGTGCGGAACTGGGGCCGGGTTAGTGTACTGCTCGGAGCAATGGGTGAGTGTCGGCGGGCGACTCTGTCAAAGCCGTGAAAGGAGGGAGGGAGAGAGCAGGCGAGGGAGGGAGGGAGCGCAAGGGCGCGCGCCACTAAGCGCTCACACTCTCCTTATTGACTTTGCTCGTGTTCCTGCAAATTGTATGAACACGCTAAGGGTCAGTGGCGCATAGCAGTTCGATCTGAATGCAGGCTACTGGGTTGCTGTTGATGCCATTTTCTGATTTTAAGAGAAGGGGGCTGTGCCATCAGCGAGCACCGCAGCCTCGGTAGTAAACCAAGTTTTGTTTCACACACACACACACACACACACACACACACACACACACACCACACTCCCCTCTAGCTTCTCCTAGACTTTGCGCGGGTCTTCAGGCGGGCGCTGGGAATGTGGTGGGTGGGAAGAGGGAGCAGCCCACGGACTTCAGTGCGCAGCAGGCGAGAAGGAGCGTGTTCAGTCGTCAAGACCTATTTCCCCGCCTGCTTCGGACACTTTTGAACACTCAGAACCGCCCTGCTTCTCACCACTTCACTTGACTGTAGCGGCCTCTCGCACCGCAGGAATGAGGGAGGGGGTCTAACTGGACTTTGGCGTTCTGGGGCCCTTCGGCTATGTTCCGGGACCGTATGGTTTGGGGACAGCCCCAGTCCTTATTTTGGGGCGGGTGCGTTCTCTCTGCCTCCGGACGCTCACTGAGGCCGAGTGGCAGGCAGCTGTCCCAAGCGGCGGGTGCGCGTCCCCGCGCGCTGTGTGTTTGTTTTGCAGAGCCAGCCTTCGGGGAGGTGAACCAGCTAGGAGGAGTGTTCGTGAACGGGAGGCCCCTGCCCAACGCCATCCGGCTTCGCATCGTGGAACTGGCCCAACTGGGCATCCGACCGTGTGACATCAGCCGCCAGCTACGGGTCTCGCACGGCTGCGTCAGCAAGATCCTGGCACGGTACAACGAAACGGGCTCGATCTTGCCAGGAGCCATCGGGGGCAGCAAGCCCCGGGTCACCACCCCCACAGTGGTGAAACACATCCGGACCTACAAGCAGAGGGACCCTGGCATCTTCGCCTGGGAGATCCGGGACCGCCTGCTGGCGGACGGCGTGTGCGACAAATACAACGTGCCCTCAGTGAGCTCCATCAGCCGCATTCTGCGCAACAAGATCGGCAACTTGGCCCAGCAGGGTCATTACGACTCATACAAACAGCACCAGCCGGCGCCGCAGCCAGCGCTGCCCTACAACCACATCTACTCGTACCCCAGCCCCATCACGGCGGCGGCCGCCAAGGTGCCCACGCCACCCGGTGTGCCCGCCATCCCGGGTTCGGTGGCTATGCCGCGCACCTGGCCCTCGTCGCACTCGGTCACTGACATCCTGGGGATTCGCTCCATCACCGATCAAGGTAGGGGCTCTGAGGCTGGGCTTGTGGCTGTGCAGAGCCTGCCCCCGCACCCCCGCGGAGATCTCAGTATCTGCGGCCTCCGGCCCGCATCTATCCCACCACCTGAGGCTTTTTCCTTTGGAAACGTAAGGAGTCTTCCCAGGGGGTGTCCTGATCTCATTAACTTGAAACTCATGCCCCTCGTTTCCTTGCCACACACAGTCTCCTGCCTCATCTCAAACTACCAGACCCATAACATCCCCCCATTCCCAACACATGGTTCGCATTTTCCACCCTCCCCCGCCCGTCGCGCAGCAGCAGCCTCAGGCCGGCTCGCTCATTCCGAGAGCGCGGCCGGCCGGACTTGGGGCGCAGCCCGGGAGGCCCTAGCCTGAGTGGGGCTGCCGGCTGCAGACGCCGCTGCGGGCAGCTTGCTTGGGGATCAGATGCGGCCGCGACGAGTACGGCACGCTGTGGAAATTGTAGTATTCTCGGATTCTGGCAATCAGGCCAAATTTGCTCAGACAGGAAGTTCAAATGTCACCTAATTGGTTTCATTCTTATGCTTCAGTTCATTTTCCTCGGAAACCGAGGTCCCGAAGTTACTACTAGTAACTTGCCTGTAACTCATTCCCGGACCAATTCACGGATTCATATTCATTCTCATTCTCTCTCTCTCCCACCCTCGTCCCCCTTCCACTCGTTCTTTCGCCCTCGCTCTCTTTCTCTCGATCCCCTCCTCAAAATTCACGCTTTACCTTAATAGATTTCACCATATATATCTTAGGAGGGGACGTGGCACCTACTGCGGTGATGAAGACAAAATTTATGGCGATTCCATGCTGTCTTTTCTACTGCTCTTTCCTGTTTTCCCTGACCCTGCCGCTTTCCTTTGGGGTACCTTGGGTCCCCCAGAATATGCGTGGACGTCTATCCAGTTCCCGCACGTTTTCAGCGGTGCCACCCCACTGTTCCTTTCTTTTCTCACCCCTGACCTTGCCTTGTTGTGAGCGTCTTTTCTGCGTGGTCAGAACTATTCCCCCCACCCTCCTGCCCAGTCCGGCTTCCGCAGGAGACCTGAATTTGTTTTCTTTCACTGGGTTGTCAAAAAAAAAAAAAAAAAAAAAGGCGTTAACTTCTTTTCTTGGTAGGGAAAAAAGAAAGTCTAAATGCCTCGGATGCAGAATTTAAATAATACATAGTCCATTTTCTTAATTTCTCAGCCTAAAGTTTAAAAAAGTGAAGAAGAAAAATTAAATAGGAAAGAAGGAAATAGTTCTTTTAATTATTTCCTGCCTTTCTTGGTTGCCACCACATTGGCACAATTATCTTTTTAAGTAATTAAAGCAGGGCCCTGATTTCTCATCTTCTTGTTTGCTGACTGCAAATTTACAAGAGCCCAGTTTTGTCTTATTCCAGCTAGTTGGAGCTTTAGTTGGAGAGAGTTTGCCCTTGATTTATAGGATAAACTGACCTCACTGACATTTAAAGGAAGCCCCTGTTCATGGGAAAGTGTGAGATCAGCAGAAATGGGGGCTCACAGGGGGATCTCAATTTCTTAAGATAACTTCAGGCTTGTGCCCACCGACTGCCTTTTGTCTGGGAAGGCAAAGAGAGACAGGCAGTTCTGCACCAAAACACAGTTTCCTGGTGCAAATGGGAATCAATCTAATTCTTTGGGGGTGGGGGAAGATACAGTGAAAAAAGGCTGACAGAATTGAAAGGAAAACGTTCCTTGCCTAGGGATCCCACAATCAGACCAAATGTCACTTGGGAAACTGTTGGATTATGGAGAGGAGTAACTTTTCATTGTCGATGTTGACTCTGGGTGCCAGCTTTAAACAACCTGATTTTTAGACAACCACAGATTTCTGACAAATCTGTGAACATAAAATGATCATTTTGTAGAAATGTCAGATGGAAGTGTTTAAAATCATGTTATAGTGGTTTTGTCAAACTTCAATCCTCCAACCATAGTACCCAAAGACAAAAATACATTGTCTTCAAATATCTCCTCTTTGAAATTATTCAAATATCTCCTCTTTGAAATTACACCTGGTCATTGAAAAATGCCAGTGATTCAATATGCACAGCCCTAGGTATATTGTGGTAATCACTTTATGCGCCATATAATTTTCTTTGCATCTCCATCAAGAACAGAAAGGATAACTGATGGCTTTACTCCTTTTCTTAACACTTAATTCTATTTCATTTTCTTAACCTTTTATTTCATTTTCTCTTCTTGTATGTATATATTTTAAAAACCCTATAACCCTGCCACTGTGGCATATATAGTGTTAATTGCAGGATTTACTTTTTGAGTCATGTGTATATAACATCACATATTTAATGTGTAGAGGGAGGGTATCAAGGCTCGTCTTATGCACACAAAGCAGAAATCTATGCACGTATATTTTGCATGTGTATTGTGGGCATCATTTAGTTATTTGTTTGCAAAAGACTTTGCAAGTCTTTTGTTCCATTTATTGACAAATGTCCTAGATCCCCACAGCACTGTGAGCACTTTTCTGCATGTCTGTGAGCACCAGCGGCAGGCACCCCTTAGGTCAGGAGGCTGCTTTCTTTTCAGCCAGCCCTAGTCCCAGATCTTTGTCAACCCCCAGTCGGCCTTGGGTTAGATTGAGGAGGTGGAGAATGGTGTATCCAGCCTCGGGGGCTCTTTCCCTGATTTGGGTTTCTTCCACTTGTTTCTTTGGAGAGCGAGAAGGGGAGCAGGGAAATCAAAGGCTGGTTGAAAAAGAAAATATATATATATATATATATATATATATATATATATATATATGTTCATATATATATATATATCTTCAGGCTTGGGTGAGAGAATTTGGAGAGGCCTATTCTCTGGCGAGTAAAACTTCTCCAGGCCCTGGGCTGGATACGGAGGAGGCCGCGGCTGGGCCCAGCACCCCTGGGAGGCCTAGGGCAGGCTGCCGACCCGAGGTCGGAGCCCTGGTGCTTTCTAGTGGTAGTTAGTAGTTCGGGTCCCGTCTCAGGAGGGGGGCGCGCGGGTTGGGCCTCCAGCGTGACACCTTCTCCTCCTCCCCAGGAGTGAACGACAGCTCCCCCTACCACAGCCCCAAGGTGGAGGAGTGGAGCAGCCTGGGCCGCAACAACTTCCCCGCCGCTGCCCCGCACGCAGTGAACGGGCTGGAGAAGGGAGCCTTGGAGCAGGAAGCCAAGTACGGTCAGGTGAGGAGGCGAGGGGCAGGCCAGGTGGGCCGTGTGGTGGCGATGGAGTACCCAGATCCCTTTCTGAGCCTGGACTCATTGCTGCCACTACCCGGATCCCTGGTGGATGGGGGCGGAACAGAGGCCCCGGGCTTCTGAGGGCGGAGTTGAGGCCTTGACACTCGCCAGGGTCCTGGAGCGCTTGCCAGGGCGCTCCGGGATTGGGGTACCAGCTAGGCCCTTGGGAAGTGCCACCAGGCCTGTTTGGCCTCTGGAGGCTTGGGAAGGCCGTGCCTGAAGCCCTTCCCGCTGCTCGCATTGGGGCTAGAGTTAATCAAAGAAGGGGCTTCCCAAAGGCCAGCAGCCTTGCGTTCTCTGAGCAGCGCCTCCAAGCCCGAGAAACGCATGCTGAGGTCGCGGCCGTGCGGTACGACGGCTGCGCGGTCCCGCGCTCGGGCACTTCCTCTGTGATGGCTCTTAGAAACAAACAAGCGTGGCTTGTCCTGGGAAGAGGGGCAACCAGATAAACGTAATAAAGTTACCATTTCCCGATTAAAGGTCACATCGTAATCTCCCAAGGGAGGTTAGTGAGAAAACCTCAAATTATACGGCCTGGCTGTGGACCGTTTAATTTTTTTCCCTCCGACCCTCCCCCAACTCTCCAAAAGAAAATTTAAAACACTCGTGTTTTGGTTTTTTTTTTTTTTCCCTGAGAAAAGCTAAGCAACCACCACAACAAAAGCCTGAGTTTTGAGTCTAAATTCATCACCACGCTGGAGTCAAGAGTTCAAAACTCTCAAAAACTGGACCTTAAGGCAACATAAGGTTTTCCTGAGCAGACCTGGGTAGGTTTGCAAATTTCTTAATCCCAAACTCCAATTCCAAAGCCTCAAACTACTCAGTTTTCGTTGTATTATTTTGAAGTCTTAATACTTTTAATGTTTTCTTATCTGTCAAACCAGCTTTTAAAATTAAGTGGAATTTGTTCCTCTTATATTTAGCTGGGGAAAAAAATATTCGTTATTTTCTCTAACAAATCCCATTTCTACTTCCTCTTCCCTCTCTGATTTTGTTGAAGCAGAGTCAGAATAGTATTAGTAGCTCCTCCCATGGCAAATATCACAGAAAATAGCAGCGAGGAAAGGGAGACCTTTTCCTTAGTCTCTTTCTACTGTAAAGAATGCCAATGAGAAATTATAAGAAAGTTTGTCATTTTCTTTTACAAAAGGGCCCGCCCTTAATTCATAACTTGCAAAGAAAAGGCAATACAGCACAATGGTTAGGAGATCCGATCTCTGGCACTACCGCTTCTTAAGCAAGTTATTTAATTTTTTAAAAAAAGTTTCTACTTCTTCATCTTTAAAACGGGGAAATGCTAGTCCCTACCTCAAGAGCTAATGCCAATGAAATAATGCAACCATATGGCATATAGTAAAGCATTCATTAAATATTACCTGTGATTATAAATGGCAGTTAGATAATGACTTTTAAAAGCAAGCAATATTTATCAGAATATACTTTGCTCAGAGAGCCTGTAGTCAAAAAGCTTTGAAGCATTTTGTTACAAGCAACAGAAAGAGTGTATATAAAGCACCTAGCATAGTAGCAAGCATTTAATAGGTGCTCACTGCTTCTTATTAGGCCATCATTTCTTGGAATAACTTTGTGAAGAGTTGAAAAATAGTCTCTAATTCCCACATGTAGTTGATGAACCCAATTTATATATAAAGCAGTCTCATAATCCAAAAAACCTTTATAGTTGTTTTTATTTTTACTCCCTTGAATTATAAATCCAGCATTTAAACTTGTTTAGAAATGGTTAATTTATAAAACACTTCAAAACTAAACCAACAAATCATTTAAACTAAAAATTGTAAACACAATTTCAAATAATCTATTCTGTATACTCTGATCATTAAAAATGGGTTACATTTTATATACTGAATATTAAATCACTAAATTATCAGATTTATAAAACCAGGTAACTTAAAAAGTGGCATAATAAATATTACTTGAAATACTTACAAGAGCGAGTCATTTTTTCCAAAATAAAAAGATGTTTATATCAAACTTACATTTGAAAAGTTAACTGCAATATGCTAATCTTCTACATTGCCAGGTAGTTAGATAATTCAAATGATGTAAAATTTCAAAACCTGAAAAGTTTCTAAGCAGAATGTAAATCAGTGGCTACTCTATTATGATTATTAAAATAGTGCTTAGTGCTGAAGATGTGCTAAGTAGGCACATAAATGTAGGCTGTGTCATTTTTCTAAGCAATTTTGGACTTTAGACATTGATTTGTTGAAGGTTAAAATTATACATTAATAGTTGTTCATAAACATGCAAAGGTAAAGTGTTACACATATGTGTGCATTTCTTTTATTGATATTAAAAGGGCAAATTTATTTTTAAAAGTTATTTTTCAAAATGTCAGCATATTTCAACCAAAATGTAAACTCAGGTAACATTTTTTCCCCTCTGTTTATATTATGGACAAAACTTGAAAGTCTTTGGCCAAAAAAAGCTAAAAAATTTTGCCTATAATACTTTCAGGGTGTTAACCATTGTTATTAAATGGTGTAATATTATATGATACCAGTTTCATTTTAGTATATAAAGGAGGAAACTGAGAATTCAGAATCATAGGGTTTAGAGCATATTTTTCCAGAAGACACCTGTAAGATTACCAAAGGGCTGATTATAGATACTATTGATGACTATAATCTAGAGTTTCTATTTCCAGCTTAAACTGCAAAGAAGGATGCCTGATTCCTAAGATTTCTAGTAATTAGAACTGTATACTAATTTCTGCTATGCACATGCCTATCTTCTGTTTTTGAAAAATTAGTTTAGAATATTCAAACTTATCTTACACATTAATGTCACATTGTAATTAATATTTTATAGTGCCAGTCAGAATTCCTTATTGTCTATCTCTGCAGATAGAATATTTATTTATTTTGGATTTTTTCACCCACATTTAATATTGGGCTAGAAATCCTTAATCTAATTTAATTCTCAATGGCAACAATGTTTTCTGGTTTTTAATGGCTGATTCTCTTCTGTTGAAAGCATAAAATCTCTATTGAATGCAACTGAATGGCAAAAGAACATTGTATACGGAGAATCATGGAGGTTGGACTATATCTGGCCTTTTACATGGTACTTAGTGAATTAATGCCTCATTTTATTCAAACAGCTTATAAATAATTATATAGTTCTTGAAAATTTTTCTACAAATGGGCATACTTTCTCAGAAAAAAACGTATTACGTATCTGGTGCTCTGATTAAAGTAATCTGACTGGTAGATTTATAAGCTTTCAGCATCTTCATTTTGGGGTTGCATATGTTAACACAGATAGCAAGTTCAATGTTACATTGGCTACAAATTGAGATGTCAGAAATAGAGAATAATCTATAAATACTTTTTTAAAATTCATAATTAAGTTCTGAAAATAATTGAATTTAAAGATATAACAATCTGAAATTCTTATGAAGCATTCATTCATACATTATATTTGAAATGAAGATGGTATTTCAGAATCTTGAATATAATTTTCTATTGCATTATTTCAAAAACTGGCTGTCCTTACAGACGTACTGTTTTCATGAAGATGTAAATGAAGTTGTACTAAATTTTTCTTCATATCAGATAAAATCAATTTTTGTTACATAATTTACAATTTAATAGAGAATGAAATCTTAGGCAAATGGCAAGTCTTTGAAATTCATAATGTTATCTGTTGTGTAAAAAATCCTTTGACCTGGTTATCTTTTAAGCAGTAGTATTTTAAAACAAAATTAATGATTATGTATCAGTAATATGTATCATATAAAATAGCAGAAAAATGTAATTTAAAAATTTTCAAGGCTACATCAATTTTAATAACATTTTGGAAAATTACAAGATTTAGAAAACTTTTTAAATAGCAGCTTTTCATTACATAGGGACATTTAGATCTATAATGTGATAACTAATCATAGTTAATATTCTTTCAGATGAATTTTGAAGCCATATTTATAACAATCATTTCATTCTATCACATTTATTTTACTAGGTCATTGAATTAAGCAGGGAAGAATGGCAGTCAAAGAAATGATTTCCTCAGAAAAGAGAAAATCTTATTTATTTTTAAATCTAAAACTTTTTCTTACTTATGATATCAAGGTTGAAATTCTAGGTGAAGCACATCTCTATTTGTGGCTAAATCTACTTTATCATAAAGCCAGGGTAAACTCATTTAATTATAAGGCGAGGACCACATAGAATTGATAAGTGGATGACAGATCGTGGGTAGAGGACCTGGCACTGTTATTTGCATTTTCTTCAAGAGAGAAAATGTTGAATAGACAATTCCCAGAATTTGAAGAATAAATAGTCCGTAAGCTCTAATTGCCAGACAGTTGTCATACTAGGTTTTTTTGTGTGCATGTGTGTTTGTGTGTGCGTGTGTGTGTGTGTATGGTCCCAGGGGTTTGGATACTAATGCATTTTTATTTTCTTGTTTAGGGGGGCACAAATAGAGCAACCATAAATCAAATAATGAAATGGTTAGGCTAGAACTTTTGTTTACTTTTTCAACATCTTTATTCATTTTGCTTAAAGTGTAATGCTTGTTCTGTGATAAAGGGTGCCTAGCTTTTTGTTTTGTTTCTAATGGAAGAGTATCGCATTTTTTTTGCTTCACAAACCTATACTCACTTAAGTGTACAAATGGCTATGAAGTGCTTGTGATGTACCCTGTTTTGTGGGGATACAAGGTGAATAAGGAAAGTCCCTGTCCTCAGACAGTTTACGATCTTGTTCTTTGCCAATACTGCTTCTCAACGTATTCACCAAAGTTATTTTTTAAAAACTGATAAATTTACATTTCTAACATTTTATAATAAGTAAAATTAAAACTTATACTTTCATTCTTCTTGTGATAACTTTAACCAGAACTACAGTGCATCTTATATATTTTTCTAGACTGTTTCTTTTAATGTTCAAATTCTTTCTAGAAATATTCAACAAAGCCAGTAACTTATTTTTTCCAGGATATACAACTTAGTCTATTTTGTTTTGTATTTGTAAATCTCATTCTCAAAATTAGGTAGAGGATGGTTTGCTATAGGGAGGACCCTTGTACAGTTTGTTCAAAGGAAAGAATTCACGTGGCTTTCATGGAAGATTCACATGAAAAAGGAGTTGATGGGTTGAAGTCTTATTTATGGAATCTTTAGGTAAAGTCATTTTCAAAAATGAGATTTCCATTACATGCCCATTGCTGGGGTTTCATTTGGAAAATTTGTTTACTCTTCCCTGGGGATTCCATATGTTGGTTGATTTATAAATCATATTTACAATCCAATTAAATAGAGTAATTTAGCATGTTTGCTCCCACTATATTTATAGTGTACATTTGGTAGTCTCTACTCAGCCTAACTAGCTTTTCAGATTAATTACATGCCCTTCACTGAAAACATTAAACAGATTTGGGACGTTTAAGTCATGTACTCTTTTACTGGAAAGAATAAACAAACATCAATGCTACCTGTAGTTGTTTTCCTTTGCGGCGGAAAATTTTACTCTTTCAGTGATTGCTTCATAAATAACAATTACTTTACCCAGTAGAGATTTATATCTTTTACTAATGTCATGTTTCAAAATTAATAGTGAGAAAATTGATGTGTTTATTGAGTCACTAAAATGGATGAATAATGAATGTGGCAGGAGGCAGGTATATTTTAAAGCACATTTGTTTTCTCATCTAGCTCGCTCCTTTTTTTCTACATTTCTAAATCTGAACTTTAACAGTAAAAATTAAAATTAAATCAAAACTCCCTCCCCCTACAATCTAGGTCATAATTTAACCTGAGGGAAAGCTAAGAGGTATTTTTACACTGTTAAAGATTAAAGATTTCTATTTTTTAAATCAAGCAAACATTTTAGCCTCTCCTTGTCTTTTTCTATAAGATGAAGTCGACCCCCTCTGAGCCTCTCTTCCTACCCTTCCTTTCTGCAGTTACATCACTAAAATGATACTACATAAATATTGTGGATTTCAGAGAACTTTGAAATATTTAATACTAATATGAATAATGACATACAGCAAGTTTATACCTTAAGCATGTGAATTGGACAAATATGGAAAGAATTAGTCTTTTTTTACACTTGATAAATGAATGTAGTCATGGAATAAGTAAGGGACTAGTGGTAATACAGATTTAATCTAATACTCCGCCTCCCCCCAAATTTCAGGAGCATTATCTAAGATGAGAATCCAATCCAACATGGCTTTTGAGAGCCATATTCCAGGAGAAACATCTCTGGGAAAAAAAAAGTAGGTCCATGTAAAGGGGTTGCAGACATTGCAACAGAACAGCTGAAGGCCTTAGACAAGGGGGGCACATCAGGGAACAATAGTTCCAAGGGCAAGGGTGTAAGAAGAAGAAAGGGAAGATGACAAAGCAAGAGTTTGAGAGAGAAGTGTAATTTTTGATTGATAAAATACAGACACACACAAAAAGAATGGGTAGGAAAAATTTAGCTGTGATGGATAATAGAACTCACCAACAAATATATTCTTCTAACTAGAACATTGTTTCTGTCATGTAAAATATTAAATCTTTTAACTTTATGTCCTCGTAAAATGTTGGGCGAGAGTTTTTAATATTTTAAAAGTAATTTTAAGCTTAGCCTTCTTATTTCATTATTCTTGGTGCTCATTGGAATCAATAGTATAAAATATTAATTAACACTGGGATGGAAGAGTCTGAAAACAGATATAAACACCTTTCATAATTGAATTGGAATGATTCCTTTCCAAACTAATTTCTCAAAGATTACTGGGAAAATTCTGCATAAAAAATGATTAGAACTATAATCTCTATGCAACACTAGATTTTTTTCCCCTGCAATTTAATAGTTCTTCATCTTGACGCTCATATTCTGAGAGCCTTAAAGTGTGTTTCCTTTGAGAGGTAATTAGCCATTTTCAGAAAGGGGAAAAAAGGATTTTTTTAAGAAGCTAAGAAACAGATGAGGATCTAACAATGAGAATTGGGTTCTAGAAGAAGAAAGAATCTTTTACCAGATGTTATCTCAAAAGATGCTCTACTTTGAGATTAAATTGTGTCCATCTTTTAGCTGTCCAAGAAAAACAGTATGATATGCTACAGAGGACCCTGCATCAGATGGGGCGATACATTCTTTTAACACATGGCCATAGACTTGCCAATTGGCCTAGGGTAAATGACTAAATCCTTTCATCTGTATCCTTGTATAAAAAGAGGATAAGATTTCATTTATATTCAATAGTGATATGCAATAGTTTGTTAAAAAAATACAGCATCATTTTTTGGGACTCTTAAAATAGATTTTAATTTCAGTGAACATCATGTTGTATCCATGATACATTATCTTACAATTATGATAACTCCAACACTTTATAATGAGCTACAATTCATTAATCCTCATTATTCAGTGAAATATGTTGGATATTTCTTGGTGCCCGGGATATAGGATATACTCAAGAAACTTTAGTTTCTTTTTTCTTTCCCTATTTTTCAAAGAACAGACATTAACAGACAATCAGACAATACATGAGGTGTGTGTTCTTATAGACCAAAGACACAAGGTTAACCCCTCTAATTAATTTATTTTGTCAGAAATCCATGAGCAATGTTAAATCACACCCATGTATATTTCTACTTCATACACACACACACACACACACACACACACACACACACACACTGTGCAATGAGAAAATAGTTTTTGAGACCCCACCATTACATTGTCATAGATGTGGAAGTAAAAATAATAACCAAATAAATTAAATTAGAAAATAATTTCTATGTTGCAATTGAGTTAGAAAAGTATCTAATTAACATATGTCTGATTAACTTAATTCTAAGGATTAGTTTTTCCTAATAAAATTCTAGTATTTACATATTTTCACTAGAAAATATGTTGATATGTTATTTCATTCACGTCACTACCACGAAATAGGATCTATTCTCTATTTCTAATAGTGTAGAAACTGAAGGGAAAAAATTAAGCTACTTGAATAAGGATGCCCAGTGTTCACGCCAGAATCAGGATTAGAAATCAGGGTGTTTTTGATGTTGTCAATAGTAACGATACCAACAATAATTTATTGGATGCCAAGAGAACACTGGTTTCTAGGCAGGTTTGCCTGCCAGGCTGCTGCTTTTTGTTTGCAAACAAAGATCTTACATCTAAATTCATTTCAAGAGATTTATCCATGTGGCTCTTAAAAACTCACATCAGAGGGCCCCACAACTTTGCAAGTAAATTTTCCTATTTTAAAACCATGCATATGCAGTGCTTTTATATTTGGATAGTCAGTTTGCTTTCTGATAAGATAGCTCTAGAAAAAATACCCCCAATCTTCGTTAAAAAACTCTTAAAAGACAAAGTGCCTGATTTCGCATGTCCTTTGTCCAACAGGCATTTTCAATATGATGTCTTAAAATATGGCCCAAGTTCTATTTAACGAAGGTCGTGCTTATTTTGAGTTTCTAACATGACAGCCCTCACTCTGTGCCCTTCTTTACTGAAAATGAAAGCTACACCAACCAGGCCCATCACAAACGCCTCCACAAAAGAGCCAAACAAAACCCTAGTACCGGAAAGGTTGACAAAGGCAGTGTGGACAGCTGAACAGATTCTAAGAGTATTTAGTCGTCATTAATTCTTTCCTCACCCTGCGCATCCTTCCTATCCTTTCAAATAGCAAAAGCAAATACTGTGCATTTTCTAGTTGTAGCTTCCTCAAAACTTCTGTGGAAAAAATATCTTGCCTTTTGTCCTTATGTTTGTTTAAGTAGCAAGACTGAGAATGCCTTTAGAATATAATAAAGTTCAAAAAATTTTAAAAAATCAGAAAGTAGAGTCAGAATATTGTCAGCTTACTCAGACTTACTTTCTGCTTCTTTCTAAGAATCTGTGAAATGTCCACCACTGTAATGCGATTACTGTTCACCTCTTCTCTTTTCCTACTCCTCTCAGGCACCAAATGGTCTCCCAGCTGTGAGCAGCTTTGTGTCAGCATCCAGCATGGCTCCTTACCCTACTCCGGCCCAAGTGTCGCCTTACATGACCTACAGCGCTGCTCCTTCTGGTTATGTTGCAGGACATGGGTGGCAACATGCCGGTGGCACCCCACTGTCCCCCCACAACTGTGACATTCCCGCGTCGCTGGCGTTCAAGGGAATGCAGGCAGCCAGAGAAGGTAGTCATTCTGTCACGGCTTCCGCGCTCTGATGGGAAATTCCGTCTGCCGCAGCTTCACCCAGGTCTCCCCCCTCAACACCCTCCCCCACCGGGTCTCACACCCCACCTCTCCTGCCCTCCAACCCTCCTGCCTCCAAAGCTGGCTTTACAGACTCACATCCTTTGTGCTGATGACACTTAAATATTTCTTGCCATGACTTTTCTCTTGCAGAAAAACTGACATGACTTTAGGATTTAAAAACAAAAGCAACGTTAAGGATTGAATGAGACATTTGTGTTGCCACACACTGTCTTAACGTAGTGAAGAAATCTACACCCCTCAAAGGGCTTAAGGAACTTTTAAAACTAGTCTTTGGTAAAACCACATGTGTATATTTATTCTAAATCAACCTGAACTTTTGAAACGTGCAATTGTTGAGATTTTGCAAAATCAGTAAAGGAAAATACGTATAGAAAAAAGCTATGCTACACCCTCTAATCAAATATGGTAACCAAGTAAGCCTTAATTCATCATTAGGAAACCAATCAATAATTGACTTGTTTGAGTGATCCTTTATTATTTTTAAGAGATGACCTGTTTTGTTGAAAAATATGTGTAGAACCCAAGCGATATCTGAATTTAGCTCCTCCTGGTGTTTTGACTTGGTTCCAAATACAATAATGTTTATATTTTCTATTAGTTTGTAAATATGGACTCTGGATGGTGCATTCTTGTCTTCATTCCATAAGATATCCCTCTCCCCACAAGCCCACCCCCTCTATATTTTTTTCTCTCTTTTTTGCAAAGGTGACTTTCTGGCAACGTCTTTGTCTCTGTTTGGTGGTGGGCTGCTCGGGCTCCTGGACCTGGACTTGCCCCCAAATTTTGTGTGTGCAGTGAAGGCTTCAACATCTCATGAAGGACACTTTCTTTCTACAGCAGAGGACACAAAAAACAGATAAAACAAGCCAGTCTCCCATTTTGTATCCTAATCAAACAACACACATGCCAAGCATATAAAGACAAGAGGGTGAAAAATATCTGAACAAGAAAGCTCTAAAGGAAGTCACTTAGAAACTTAAGTTTAATGTGAAATGTTTTGCAAAGACACTTAAAATGAACTTTTTGTTAAGAAAACCACTGTGAAACTAAATTGTACTGTTATTGTTGGCTTACCTGTGTGTTCAGCAATCTCAGCCCAAAATTGTGTTGTAATTTAAAGAAAATGGAAAATTCTGCTCTAATGAATGTAACAATGGCTTGCTGTGAAGTTTACATTGTTGTACAGAAGCATGTTTCACATGTAGGTAAACTGGTGGTGGTATTAGAAATACAAATGCTATTTAATTTTAACAAATTCCCTTTATTCATTTCTGAAATTACAGGACACAGTTTAACTGATAAACCTTTCTAGACTGATTTATTTTTCACATTAATGTTAATAACAGAGCTATGGGGTATATGTGTGTGTGAGCGTGTGATTATGTGTTATATTTTAAAACAATTGATTTTCTTGAGCAAAATTCTATGGTTTTTATCCCTTCTGTTTAGGAAGTGTTTCCTGCTTGGCAACATAGGCTAAAAAGTGTTTTTAGAACATTGGCACAATTCATCTATTGGAAGATTAATATATTGAGGGTTTTTTTGGTATTAATTCTGTGCAATAACTAAAAGGGCACCTCATTAGATATGGATGTTGAAAATGCATTGAGTAGGTCATTTTGATTTCTTCCTGTCTGTTCTGTGCATAGCCTACACGGCAATGCGGTTCCGCCACCTTGGTTTCACAGCTTCATTTAAAACTAGATGGCTAGATTAGCTAGGTTTTCAAATCATTAGGATGTAAACAGTAAGCAGATTTCTGACACATAAATTATGTTTAAGTGACTGCTCTTTTCAAGCAGCAGATATCTTATAGAGAGCTTTGAACTGCATTTATTTCTAAAGCAACCGAAATTCAGTGCTACAAACAGAGGATTATAACTTCAGGAGAAGAATAAGCAGAAGGAGCAGATGAACTCTCAGGGCCATAGTCTTCCTTTGATCTTGCAAAACTCCCAATGACATCTGGAGTTCCCAGTCTGGTGAGAAAATAGACTATAAACTAAATGGAACAAAGATCCAATCCAATATTTTGGTGGAGACTTTAAAACCATACATATAGGGACTCTCCTGCCATCCAGAAAAACTGACATAAGGTACAGAATTGTTCTTTATCAAAATGTTTTTTTAGGTGGCTATTAGGGATCTTTAAAAATATTAACTGTTTATATGGAAATGGAGCTAAGTGTTATTTTCTTTGTCTAAATTAAGAAATCTCTTGTTATGCTATTTATAATTTTTTCTGGTTCTTATGTTTTTAAAAATCTAATATTAATGGTATCAAAGTTTTCTTCCCTTTTCTTTTTTCCCCCTAGGTCTTTTCTTAACAACAGTGAATTCACATGGAATAATTTAAAAAAGACAACAGATACAATCTGCTATTCAAAGCAAATTATGATTTAAAGCCACTTTTAAAAATACGAGAAGGAAAATGGGATGGGATATGGAGTTGGAACTGTTTAATTTTTAAAGATTATTATTATTGGTTAATGTTAACGTATTTCCTCTGTTTTTTAGAGGATAAAAGTATTGTTTTTAAATTGGCAAGTGCACTCTTCAGAAATCCTTTTCCATCTCATTGACATGGAAAGGTTACAGGTTCAATTTCATGGCCTCTATGCAGGCAGTACTCTCACAGGATGAAAGAGCATTACCTGCAAGGATAGAATGCAGTTATGCAACAGAGACACATTCTTACTTCTCTTGGTTTTCTGTTTTTAATGACCCTCTTACTGAATATTAGGCTGAAATATAATTTTAAAAAACACGTTGGAAAGGATGTACAACACAAGGCTATGTATGTATATACCGTATGTCAAAAAGCCTTTTATTTTTATACTTCAAATGCTCTAAATTAATAAAAAGTAATAATTACCACGTTATCTTTTACTTTTTATTTTCAAATATGATTTAGCGAAATAGCCCCACAGTAGAAATATCCCATAGTAATAATTAAGAACAGGTGTCACCTAGAATGTGCAGATATTTTTGTTGACTTTAGCTCCTGAATTAGCATCATTTCAGGATGCAGATATAAAATCAGGTTTGGTTATATTAAGACAAAGGAGATATTTTGGGGGATACATGTTTGTACAGTAATCCTTGGAAATGCTAAGAATGTACTCGTATTTTGAAACATTTTTCCCTTCATCATACATATTCTAATATTGCAGACAGCAGACTTTACACCTGAAGCTGTCATTTAAAACTCATAACCTGAAAATGAAGTTTTACTTTACACATTCTTCCTAAGAATGGCACAGGTAAGCATTCTGAACAAAGGTATTCGGATGCAAATACAAATGGCACAAAGGGGCCCAAGGAATGCTTCCAATTTGTGATTTAACATGAAAATATTTCAGCAACAAAACTTGTCTTCAAAGAAAATTATGTGAAGGAAAGTAGTTTAATATAATTTTATGTTTTCTATTTGTAATAAAAGACTTTGGATATCATGATTTTAAAATACCTGCTTAAAACAATAGTATTTTAACATTCTGTTTGTAAACAGTGTTAAAAAATATCCATTTAAACAACAGTATGAGGAATAAAGTAGATCTAGGAAAATACAGCTGAGATGTGCATAATTACTAAAGAAGACCAAAAGATTTACATTTTAACATAGTACTCATAAAATTAAACATTCTTAAAAAGCCATTTTAGTGCACTTCAAAAACATGTTCTTTGTGCTCTTTAAATATTATTTATGGAAGAATGTAATTCCTTATAAAAACTTTAAATTTTGGCTTAACTTTTTTTTAACCCAGTCTTTCTTTGAATAATTGTTAAAGAACTGGCCACAGAATGATTTATTCTCAAATATTTACTTTAAGTACTTCTAGACCTCTTAGGAAAAATAATTATCAATACAATGAATTTTCATTGTGAAGCAGTGTAAGAGGAACACAGGTGACAAAGTTTATATTGCCTTTATGAAATATATCTGATTTCTATGCCATTTTTCTATATTCAGTTCATATATCTAATTGCTTCATATTATTTTTATTCTCACAGTTTTATGGGTATGGCCCAAACTATCATCTCAAGTTGCGTAAAGACAATTTTTAAAGTATTAAAATAGGTTTTGTTCTTGAACAAACTGTCTTCCCCTTCATAACTGTATGCCTAGCTTAGCTGATCCATAGTCTTTCCACTTCATGGTGCTGCATAGCAAATATCCATTATCTCAAGGAGGAAAATACTTTCTAGGCAATCACCAGTTCTCCTGAAGCCATGAATAGGTGTATTCATAAACCAGCAGCATCACTGCACCACCTAGAAAAGAAAAGAGCTGGTTTTTATCGCAAATCCTGTGGAATAGCGTTGGCTTTCTTACTGGGTTTTTGAATCCGCAGTGTCCCACACAGCACTGGGCAGGGCCTGTTCAAAATCGTCAGTTCCTGAGCTCCAATACAAAGATGTGAAACTATTATGGAAAATTCTCAGGGTAAAATCAAGACCATCTTGAGTCTCCAAATACATTTTTTCCCCATGAGTTTCTGCAACTTTCATCATTTCTCATCAGATTCTTTTTTAGGCACTTTTAATTTTTAAAAGTAAATAAATATAGACATATTTAGTCATGTAAGGGCATGTGGCTTTCCTGCAAACAGAAACCTTCAGATTCTTCATATGTAGGCAAAGGATTTATCTTTTTCAGTCTACAGCTAGCATTGTCTTAGTTGCATTCACGAAGGAAATCTCTAAGATGGTGCTTGACTGATAAGTCTGGTTTTTTCTTATAGCTTTCAAACTGGACTGCAACATGAAAAACAGATTCTGAATATTTTTAAAATCTGTACTGCAAAACTTAAAAAGAAATTGGAAACTAAACTTCATTCCTTTTAACTGCTTCAGATGTATATAGATTTGAACTTGAAAATTTGGTAGTGGGGGGTTGGGTGGCATGAGACCACCATTTGTCTTGGAAGAAAAGAGTTATGTAACTGGCTACAGAAACTTGCTATGTAATAAGTCAACAGGAATATGATACAGAAAAACAAGCACTGAGGCTGCTGAATACCTAAACAGTGGGAAAAGCATTTGTATGTGGATCATTTTGTGTTCTATTTGATGCAGTAAATAGCATTGTGTCCTGTGCCCTGTAGGATAATCTCTTTTTATCCTTTCATGTCTAACTGTGTGAAAAATATTACAAAATCAAAATTTGGAAAGATATCCTGAACACAATTTACAGAAGTCTTGGCTGTATGAATAGAAGATTGACTTCTGATGGAAAGAAACAGAACTTGATTTGGATCTTAGTTATTCTGAATGCACTGCCATATGCTTTTTTTTTTAATCTACAGGCTGCACATGTTTGTGTAACCATATACCAAAGATAATTATCTGCCTGTAATTTTCATTTTTAACCCATGAAGATACTCTATTAGGCCTCTCTCAGCTGCCGTAGCCCTCTTGGAACTCTGACAAACAAAAAGAGGCACACTACAGAGGATTGTTAATATGTATATAATTGCTGTTTATTCTTATCAACCGTTCACAATGCAAGACAAGAATATGCAGAATTGGGTTAGTTTTTAGCCTAGTGATATTTGGAGTTTAAACCATAGACTTCAAGATTCATTCTTGGGAGGTACCTGATTGTTAGCCACATTGAGCTGCTAAAGCTATTATAAAAATAAGAAAGGATGCTGTTCTAGAATGAAGAACAAAAATTCCAAACTCGCATTTCTTTTCTTTTCTTTTTGTTTTTTTTGAGACAGAGTCTCACTCTTTTGCCCAGGCTAGAGTGCTGTGGTGTCAGCCTAGCTCACAGCAACCTCCAACTCCTGGGCTCAAGTGATCCTTCTGCTTCAGCCTCCTGAATAGCTGGGACTACAGGCATGCGGCACCATGACCAGCTAATTTTTTCTACATATTTTTAGTTGTCTGGCTAATTTCTTTCTATTTTTAGTAGAGATGGGGTCTCGCTGGTCTCGAACTCCTGACCTCGAGCAATCCTCTCAACCTTTCTTTTCTTTTTTACTGTCTCTCTCTTTCTCTCTCTTTTCTTTTTAATCTTACCCTTAACTCAAAAGGTACCTTTCTCGATACCTTTCTTTCCTTTGAAGTTGCCAGGACTTGCACATTAGGAATGAAGAAGAGACCAGGTCCTTGAATGAGGTTTCCAGTTATTCACAGCTTTGTTTAGCCTGGACAGCAAGTTCACAACAACCCTTTTCATTAACACCACAGCAACTCAGAACACCCCCCCCACCCCCTAAAAAAACAAAAAACATTTAAAAAGCCAACCAAACATCTGCAAGCCTCTAACAAAACTTGGGGTCAGATTATTTAAGA